GAGATATTATGGAAATGTTTACTTCTTATTTTATGTGAGTAAGCATCAATCTTGTCTCATTTTTTTTTAACTCTCAATTTAATGGTGTTATGAGTTTTGTTAATTTTAGGACTTAATTTGATAATTTTATAACATTTAAGTCTCGAATTAAGAAAAAAAAAATATTTCTGACCCGATTTGATAGTTTACCCATCTTTCAAGTTTTGTATTAAAAAACTCCATGAATTTATGACTCTTTAAAACCTCACTGCAAAACTGAAAAATAGTGGGGATAAAAAAGATTACATGACATCCTAATCACCAAAATTAACGAGCCTTTAAAGAATTTGGGCCGATTACTGATTGGGCCAGTAATAAGGGAGTATGATAGGTCCAACTCTCATATAGTGGACTTTCTGTAGGTATCTTTTTTTCTATTAATCTAAGACAAAAAAAAAAAAATATGGGCCACATAATTGATTGTGATAGATCTATAGAAAGAGTCAAAACAACTGGAAACTCATCATTGATCATACAGAATCCCAAGAAAATCAAGAAGCCAATGACATTATTCTCCCGTATCAATAATTTGCTTGTCTTGTTCTTGCTTAAATTCTACTTTTTGCCTTTATTTTAATTCATACGTCAGCCACCAAAAACAAAATTCATCATTCAAGTATAATAATAATTGACTTTAAGGATACATGGTACTTAAGTTTCTACTTTTGAATTTACAATTGAATAAATAATTAAAAGTGTGAAGAAAATCACACGTTTGAAGATTTTTATTTATGCAAACCAAAACCCCTCAATCATTGTGTAAAATGACAAAATCCCTCCAATTGATTTTATCATTTTTGAGGAGATTATAATGCTCAAGGGAGGTTTTGGTGGGTTGATTGTCACTTGTAAGTCGTTTTCATTTTTTTAATTTGATTTTGATTGATTTTTGTATGAACTCTGTTCAAGTTTCATCAGTCCTATATGAGGCAGCTGAGTCGAATCTCGTGCGAGTGTGTGTAATCGTGTGGTGATGAAGCTCCCGCGAATGCATGTTCGAATCTTCCGAATCTCGAATGTGTTAGGGGAGATATTTGTTTATTACCCGAATTCGGGTTTGTAAAAAGATTGCATTTTTATGCATTTCTAGGGGTTAAATGTGTGCGTGAGTGTATGTGATCGTGTGGTGATAAAGTCCTTGTGACGAATTTTTCGAATCTTGGAATGTGTTTGGGCGCATATTTGTATGTACCCGAATTCGAACTCCGTACAACGATTTCATTTTATGGCTTTGAGTGATGATAAACCTCCAAATTTCCCCGAATTTCGGAATGTTTTCGGGCAGATATTTGTATGTACCCGAATTCAGATTCCATACACAAAGATTTTGCATTTCTATGCCTTTCGAGGGCTTTGAGTATAGTTTTATCTGTGCTTTTGTATCTGCAGAAAAAAAGAGAGCAAATCCACTTATTGCGAACCATTGTCGAAATCCCGCTTCGCAGCACGGTTTATGCATTTGAAATGTACGGCGAAGAGCTCGATTTTCCTAGCGAAAACCTTTTGGATTCATTCAACATAGATGATTTTCTCGTTCAAACCCAATCCTCCAACAACAACGATGATTCTCTTTCGGACATCCAAAGTCGAGCACAAGCGTGCACTCATACCCATGCCTGCAACCCGCCCGGCCCAGATAAAACCCACACCCACACGTGTATTCACGTTCACACCCAAATCATGCCCGACGAAAAAGCCCGGCCCATGATCGAGAACAAGCCCAAAACACGGCCCAAGGGAAACCGTGAAGCCGTGCGAAAATACCGCGAGAGGAAAAAAGCTAAAGCCAAGTCATTGGAGAATGAGGTTGTTAAATTGAGAGCCTTAAATGAGGAGATGATGAAGAGATTGCAAAACCGGGCTATGTTAGAAGCAGAGGTCTCGAGGCTGAAGTGCTTGCTTGTCGATATTCGAGGGAAGATTGGAAGTGAAATCGGGTCTTTTCCTTACAAGAAATCAACGATTAGTACTAACAATGAGAATAATAATGATAATAATCTTGTCGCAACTTACGTGAGCTCGTGTAATGGCGAACATGAAGCCGCCGGATTTAACTGTCCTGGCTGTGAATTTGGTGGCAGTAATTCTTCTGGCAGCAGCAAGAGAAAGTAAGCTTTCCCAGAAGTCATTTCATTGTTATTTAACTTGTTATTTACATGTTATCCTCTATAAACATTGCATGCCTTTGAACTTCATGAATTCATCAAGTTGAATTGCATATCTATTGTTTCACTTCTTTACTCACACGTGCATGAATATATACGGGTGTAAATGAGTCGAGCTCTTGATAGTCGAGCTCGACCATTTATCACGTTTGAGCATTTAAACGGCCAAAGAAAACGAGCTTAAACTAACCCACAAAACCATGAAACTCATGAAACAAAAGAGACATGACAAGATAAACAACACCAAAACATTAACACAACCTAAACCCAAACTCCTCCCCAAACATCACACTTTTGCATAAATATGGGTATAAACAAGTAGAGCCGAGCTCGAGTGTCACTCTATCGAGCTGAGCTTCTAAACGAGCTTAAATTAACCCACAAAACCAAACCGAACAAACATAACAAAGATTCTCACAAAAACCAAACCAAAACCACAATCATCCAAACAACAATCACAATCCACAAACAACACCTAATCATGAAATCAAGACAACCTAAAACCCAAACATCACACAATCCTACAAGCCGTGGGATTGTCGTCGCTAAAAGCCGTGACATACCTAACCTCTGTCGAACTCGCCCGCGCAAGTTGCGAAACCCGAGGATCCTCCGAGGCCCGAACATAACCAGCCGGTGCCTTTTTATCGTACACACCAGGTGCATACGGGTGGTCCACCACCTCATACGGCACGTAGGGCCAAAACACGGCCTTTTTGCCCGTTCGGTGGACCACACGAGCCAGAACCTTATGCGGGTCGACATAGCCGATTACGGTTAGCTTGCTCTGTTTCGGGGAAACTTCCACCGAGGTAACGCCTTTCATGCCCTCAACCGATTTTCGAACCTTCCTTTCGCACCCTTCGCAGTCCATCTTTATTTTGATCTCAACAGTCTTATAGAAAAGAAAAAATGAATAAATACATGAATATGAGCAACGGTGAGACTTTTGCACTAAACAGGATAAACCGAAAGACCAAACTAACACAAATAAAAACCGGGTTGCAACAGAAAAAACCGAAACTGAAATTATGTTACACCAAAATAACCAAACCGAATTGACCCGAATGCACGGTTTGGCTTGGTTTTCGGTTTTGTCTCGGTTTTTCTATGCATTTTTATTTAATTCGGTGGAACCAGGAGTTGTGACTTGTGACAAAATAATAACCGAACTGCAAAGTCTGAGGAAAAAACCGAACCGCAACAGAATAATAAGAAAAAAAAAATTCACATTAAACAAAAACGAACAAACGCACACTGAATTGCACGGTTCGGCTCAGTTTTTTCGATTTTTGGTTCGGTTTTTGCTAACCGTTAGATCTTAGATAAAGCTAAAAAAACCTGAAGTGCTCTGCGTTTCTTGAGCTTAGCCTTAGAATGTCGTCCACCTGAGCAGTCACATACGTTTGAGAGATGATCCAAAGCGCCCATTTTTTTTAAAAAAAAAAAGATTGAAAAAATTTTAAATTAGCAAAGGCTTTATTTTTTGATTCTTGATAAAATCTTCTCAAGAGTTTCGAGTGTTTTAATAATGAGCTGGCAACTGAGTTTGCTTTTTCTGGTATGATGAATGAGCGCCACGTGTAATGTGTGCTGTGTGTTTTATGGTGAATGCGCGCCACGTGGTGCATTGTGTGCAGATCCCCACTGCACCGACCCGAGTTTGGATAGAGGTTCGGTTGGTTTCGGGAGAGTGCGGATCCTCTGCTACACACTTCTAATGAACTTTTGGGTGTGTGTCTACACTTTGGGCTTGTGGAAAATTGGGCTAGAAATACAAGAAATGAAGACTATAAATGAAAATTTTAGGCCCAAATACTTGGGCCGACTTTGGTTTTCGAAGCAGAAGTGGTAAATAGAGTTAAAAACTTAAAATACATGTCAAAATGCTCACATTTCAATAAATGCATGGATGTATATATTATCCTAATCAAAAGTGTATGCCTATTAGATTCTACGGTTCTGTTACGGAACTATTTCGTTGGGGTTTGTAACTGTTAGATCAACTATCTACGACGATTACATGATGATTTAACTGTCACAAATATCGATATAATGGTTTCGGGACTGTAGCATTTCCCACCTATAATATCAATAAATAAAATAAAGGATTTTGCAGTATACAGAAAATAACAATAATGGAAAAAGAGAAACATGGTTGACAAGATTTGAGCAAATATATATGTGTGGGGAGAAATAAATAATCATGTAAAAAAAAAAAAGAGAAACGGGCAAAGGCATTAACTTATGTGCCTATCCATAAAATTCTTCAACTTTGGTAATAACTAGTACAGAGCCCGTGCGACGGCACGGGGTGCACAATTTTAAGGTCATTTATCCATTCTTATAATCATATAAATGAATAAAAAAAATGTACGGGATATATATAGTAAGTGATCTGTAATAGGCCAAAATGTGAACACGGTGATGCACGGGGTGCACAATTTTAAGGTCATTTATTAGTGTATACCCCGTGCAATGTACGTGATACATATAATAAATCAATTATTTCTATAAGACTTGTATGTCTAGACAAAAAACAATATGCTTGGATCATCCATATTTCACATCTTTTAATAAGTGGTATTTATTTAAGCCAAAAAATTAACATGTTAATTAATATATAATTCCGCTAACACGTCATACTAATATTTATTTAATTTTAGAATACATATTTATTCATTGATATAAAAAAAATAAAAATTTTATTAATTATTGTTCACCATATAATACTCAATTATTATTTTATTATAAAATTTACAGTCATATAATGTAATTATTATTATTTATAAAAGTTATAGAAGTATTCTTTTTTATGTAATGAAATTCAAAATAAAATTTTGAGTATAAATGTTTACAAAATACACACACATGTTTTTTAAAATTCAATTTTCTCATAATAATTCTTTTTTTTAAATATGATTTAGCAATTGCCAGAAAATAAATCTCTTACATAATCAAGAGATTTTTTCTAATTTTCATCCTAAGGGTTTATAGTTTATTTAACATACTATGCAATAGAAAAATATTTTACAATAAGTTCATTTTTGAAACATAACAAAAAAAAAGGATAAAAACACTATCATAGTTGACAATAATATACATATAAATAACATGTCGAAATTTTAAAGAATAACTATAATTTTATTATTTAACCATTAATAAAATCATTTAATGATGTGATCATTATCTTTTAAATAATAAATAATATTAATTTTTTTAAAAAAATATTAGTGTTATATAATTAAATAAAGGTTAAAAAATATTACTCGACAAATATTAATTATAATGGATATAAGTAAAATTATTGCATAAATTATTTAAGGAAAAAAATTTTGAAAATCATATTTGGATAGTAAATGTAAATATGCAAGCATTTAATGCATATAGTAAAAAATTTCCAAATAAAATATGTATTAAATGTGTGTTGACTTTCTTGCTACTGTTTTTGGTAAATAGGTTGGCTTTTAATATATATATAGATAGATAAACTCAAAAAAAAATAATAATAATAATAATAATAATAATAATAATAATAATAATAATAATAATAATAATAATAATAATAATAATAATAATAATAATAATTGTATTTCTGCCTCTATGTCACACACTTCTTAAATTGCAAATAAACATACTTTTTCAATAATTGAGGGAGAGCTTTGCCACCCTTGTGGTCCTACCCGGCTCGATTCCGGATTAGTCGGTTTCCTTGTAGATCCGGAAACCGAAAGGTCCCTGTACCAAAAAAAAAATCTAATATAAATACGGTGCAAAAAAAATAATCTAATATAAATAAAATTATAATATAAGAAAATGATATAATTCTGTTACGGCACCATCCCGTCTAGTATTTTAACCGTCGGATCATATATATTATACTAACTACGGCTATGTTTGGTAAAATTAGCTGATAAGCTAGTTGATAGCTGATAAGCTAGCTTATAGCTTATATGTATTTTTTGAGCTTATAGATTATGGCCCCGTTTGGAAGATAGCGGATTGAAGATAAATTAGCGGATTGGACTTAATTGAGAGGTTTGACCCGTCAAATCCGCTATTAAGTTTGTTTGGTAAATAGCTTATTTTATAAGCTTTTTGAGCCCAAAACTCTAATTTAGAAAAAGCTCATTAGAGGAGCTTTTTGGGATAGAGGATTCACAATCTACTATTTTAATTTGGAACTTTTTAATTTGTATTATTTATTTTACAATTTACATTGGTTTATGGTGCTAATAAATAATAATATGTCATCCATATGATTAATTTATCATGAAAAATGTAAAATTTATAACTTCTTAATCAAGTGTTAGTAAATTTTTTAAAAAAAAATAATATCTTTATAAATTACCAACTAAAGGATATTAAATGTTTTAATATATTATTATTAAAAGAATACACCTTAAATAATAAAAATGTCCTTATTGGTAATTTACAATGTCAAACAGCTATAAGATTTCAGCTATTTACCAAACGCTTATTTAAAAACCGCTAATGCAATTCGCTGGTCAAATCAGCTAATATAATCCGCTATCCGCTATCCGCTAATACAATCCGCTATTCGCTATCCGCTATCCGCTGATCGCCAAACAAGGCCTATAGCTTATGACTTATAGCTGAAAAGCTAGCTTATATGATAAAAGGTGTTTGGTAAATTAGCTGATAAGCTAGCTGAAATAAAAAAATTCAATTAGTTTATTTGAAAAGCTACCTAAAGTAGCTTATGAAATAAGCTCGAGCCTTTTTAAAAAAGCTCGTCCTACCAAACAAGGCTTATTTTAAACAGGGAGCTTATAAGCTAACCAAATAAGCTAAAAACTAGCTTATTTGGCTTACCAAATATACCCTACATGTGTATCCAATGCTTAAAACACTCGACAGGATAGTACTGTAACGGAACCGTAGTATTTCCCAATAATATTATAATCCAATATTTAAAGAAAATTGCAGAAATGGTGCCAACCATACGTGGAGCCCCATGCATTAGTCCATGCGCTGTGTCTGCAAAAACTGAAAACTTGTTAAAAATAACAATATTATTATCCGTTTGTTACTCTCTTTGAGAGTTCCCATAAAAATATGACCGCAATTCAATACGGGTTTGCCAGAGTTCTCGATCTCCTAATTACACGTGTATATATATATAGATAATATTAGTAATAATTTTGATAATCTTATATTATTATTTACATACGATTTTAAAAAAAATAAATAAATAAATTTTTAAGTATTTAGGTCTCGAGATATTCATTTGAGATTTATATTTTTAAAAATCTTGCCTAATCTTAATGTATTTAAATCATTCGAGACTGTGATTTGTTAATTTAGGATTTTCATTATTTGATGTGATTTCAAAAGAACAAAACATATTATGATTTAAAATTTAATATGATTCCTTTTAAAATCCCATATAAATACGCCTCTACCGATATATATACTTGAATGTGATATTCATTATCCTTCTAATTTAGGCAAATCTAAAGAAGGGTGAGAAAGCTTGTAGATTCGGTCAATGCAAGGGCTTGAATAATTATTTTAAATCACACCGATTTTATTTTAAATTGCATAATTATTTGCATTGATCTAGCATCATTTAGCTAAATAAAGTTTGATTACTAGATTTTATGTCCGTAAAAAAAATGAAAATGAAAAATTAATTTAGAGGAATAAAAAAAAAGGTCATTATACATATTGTCAAGGACTTGGATTTTTTGGTCCCAAATTCCAATTCAAGAATTAAAGGCATTGTACCTATATTACTTTAGGGAGATGTTACGGTCTCATTACGGAACCTTTTAGTCGGAGTTCGTAACAATTAAATCAACTATTCCCGATGGTTACATGATGATCAAACAGTTACAAACCCTGACGGACCCATAACGGAATCGTAGTATTTCTCATTACTTTATACATAGACTTGGGGAATCACAATGAACAGTTTTCTACACAATTATATATAGTATCTTTCTTTCCCAAGAAAATGATGGATTTATTTATTTATTTGTATATTTTTTTGGCATAAATATTTTAAATTTAAGCTTCAAATTCAGAGCGTCCATATTGCGGTACGCTATGTGCCATGACCTGTTGGGTCTGGGCTTGGGCCCAATATGCATGTGGCGTGTCAAATCTAATCTATGGAAGTTTTTTGGTCGTCATATATATAAATGAAAAAAAAAAATAAAAAATAAAAAAATAAATAATAATAATAATAAATAGAAAACCTAAAGGAAAATATGTGTGTGTATATATATATATATATATGTGTGTGTGTGTGTGTGTGTGTGTGTTTGTGTGTGTGTCAATGTTTATATAAAATTTGATGTGTTGTTGGTCATATTAATAAAAGTACTATTTGATACCAACTCATATTTGAAAAGGTCTAACACAATATTTCAATAATTGCTAACTTTAAAGTTTGTTGTTGGATA